AAATATTTTTAAAAAAATAATTTTATTTTGACTATGTTATTTACATACGAGTAATATGTGATTTGTAATTTAAAAGTATTAATATTTTAATATTTTTTGTATACCATAAGAACAATATTATTTAAAAAATATTATGATTAAGTTACAATGCTATTTTTAACGTGATTAATTATTAATAACGTTTTAATATTTTTTATTTACAATATTATAAGTATTATAATTAAGTAAATAGAACTTTATAATGCGAAATATGCACTATTTTGAGTTATAAGCCAAAAACTATATTTTTAAGTCGCATTCTAGATTAACGATAGTTAAATGAATGAAAAGTTATAATATTTAAAAATGTTCCCAAAAATGTTCCTAAAAGTTCTTGAGTAATATTTGAAATATTACAAAGAAATAATTTGAGTAGTAATTTAAACTTTATTTTTTTAACAGTATTTTACTTACAAACGACTAAAGTAAATTTTAAAATTATTTTTACAATACAAGTTAATATGCAAAAAAATTGAGGAGTTAATGATATATTTAATATAATTAATGTGTAACGCAGAGTTAATATTGTAGTATTATCACGAGAATATTTGCATAGCAATATGTGAGTTTGAAGGACTGAGTGAGTTAACAATGTCAAAGCCTCACTATATTTTGTTATAAAAGTTAATGCATAAAAAAATAATTATACATAAATAGTGTATAAATATAGACTAGGGGAACAAATATATGCCTAGCTTACTCAATCAAAGTATAATCAAAATATCTGGTTTAAAGCTAATATATGCTTAAATCTGGTACTGGATTCGACTGGAAAATATTATACAAGTAATCCATTGTAAGGACGAAATTAGGGGCTATGTTATGGGCTATAATAGACACTGAATTTATTTTAAAGCATATTGTAGGTATGTTGGAAAACAACCAAATTTAAATATAATATTTTCTTTTATATGGTGATAAATATATATTTATTATATGCATTATTTATCTTCTAAGATAAAAAAATTGTAATGTAAAAGACGGAAAATAGATTAAAAGTTACGAACTCGGCTTTATATAAAAAAAAAAAAAAAATTAAAAAAAATTAATTTATTATAATTCTAAAACAAGTATATATTTTATTTATATACCTATTAAACGTTGATACTATGTAGGAGGCATTCAGTAAAAAGTCGACTAACATACGTCATGTGTTCTAATCATTGATTTTATAATATACAGATAAGCGAAGGTATAGGTGTATTTGGCCACTACAATTTAGTTGTCGATAGACGCCGTTGCTATATAATTAACTATACTATTAATTATTATATATCAACTTTTTTTCCCTTTTCTATTTTTATCGTACATAGACAATTGTTTACACAAGAACCCGCTTGTACTACAACTGTCGTGATCATAGACATATAAAAGAATTTATATGTATGTCTATGGCCGTGACGATCGACTAGTTTTCGGAAACGATAGAATGCCAGCTTATCTATAATAGTTTGTCAAGTTGTATTTTATTATTTATGATTGAGTTGAATGACGTTAACGTCTAATTAAGTGATTTATTATTTTTACCCTTTCTATATAACAATATTATACAGTGTGTTCACGCTAAGAGGTACTACTAAATATTTCGGTTCGATGATCTTGTATTGTAATGGGGTTTTCACTGAATGACAGATATTACTTAAATACACATTTTTAGATAAATTTCAAATTCTTAACACTTTCGATACGCGCATACGCGATACAACTTACTTTTTTTAAATGATAACCAATTTTTTTTAAATATTTGGATAGAGTATTTTTTTCTAAACAATTTATGTATAAAATTTTTTTTTAATTACAAAAGTTGCATATGAAATTTATCGATGAACTTTAATATTTAGTGCGCACAATTTTATAGTTTTCAATTTAGCTATCTTAATTCAGAATAATTAATGAAAAAAATTACAGTAAATTACGATAAAAAGTGTTTATTTATATCTTATTTATGTGTAAACAGGTATTTCCTAACTGGATACTAATAAGTAACAATAAGTTGAATTTAGTTTAAAGTTGGTCAAAAAAAAAAAAAAAATTAATTGTAAATATTAAAATTCATCGTTAAATATAGAGTATGTACGTTGTCAATAAACGAATTTCCTTACTACCGACGCCTAACCACTCATCCCGCTACCACCTACGATGGAGACCCTCCTAGACGTCTGATCGCCTGCAGTGCTCTATTCGGCTGATGTCTAATAACTGGTTACCATATTTTTGTATAGCACCGCTTATCTGTATATTATAAGATCAATGGTTCTAATCGATAAACTGTTTATTTTTTGACAAGTTTACAATCGATAAACTATACCAAAAACTGTATTTATGTAAACGTGTTAACCAGTGAAAATTAAATAAATTTCTATAAAGATTTCGTTAAATATGATAAATTAAAGCAAATATAATTACTCCAATAATGACTGTTATTAATAATATGATCGAAGTCCCAGGGCTTACGTTACACAGGGAAACAATTTTATATGAAGTAAGGCTCTGTTGTACATCCTTTTATCTTGAAATTATACACGATTAGACGTTTTATTGACTGGAAATCAGTAATTAGAAGGTTAATTGTTTTATAAATAAAACTTAGAATATCATATGTTAAATAGGGTTCAATCTATTCGGTAGTAAATTATGCCATAAGTCCTGATACAAATGAATTTCAAATTTTACTCTTAAAATTATAGTTTAATTTGTGTAACTATTACATTATTTTTTAAATAAATAAATTTAATTATAATCTTATATAAAATATTTCAAGAAGTTAAACATCTATATATATATCAGTTTTTATATAATATATTATAGAAAAATGGAGTATTTTGACCAACTGCTTAACTGTGAGGACCCTCCTGAAACTTTCACATGGATATCATCTGACCCTAACGACAGTGAATGCCCTCCTCCTAGTAGGATAGAGGTAGTAAATCAATTAAATAGATTAAAAAAAAATAAAACACCGGGAGAAGATGGAATTCAGGGAGAAATTCTAAAAAATTTGGATGAGGTAGCAATAAATAAAATACATGATATCATCGAAAATTTATGGTCTGAGGAGCAACTACCCAAAGACTGGGGTACAGCGTTGATCTGCCCGATTTTTAAAAAAGGAGACCCACAAAAATGCAGTAACTACAGAGGTATTGCTTTATTAGATACGGCATATAAAGTCTTATCATATTGTCTACTTGATAGAGTAGTACCCAAGGCCGAAAATATAATAGGTGATTACGAGGGTGGGTTTAGGACCAATAGATCCACAACTGACCAAATGTTCATTCTAAGACAAATCATCCAAAAACATTTGGAATTTGACAAGGAGGTACACGTGTTATTTGTGGATTTCAGAAAAGCTTATGACTCTATACATAGAGAAAGCCTTTTAAACATTCTCAAAGATTTCAAATTCCCCAGGAAAATTATTAATCTCATTGGAGCCAGTCTCAAACATACAGATATACAGGTCAATATAGGTAACGTAACATCGTAGCCAACTAGAGTAACGACAGGACTTCGGCAAGGGGATGCTTTGTCTCCAGTGCTGTTTAATTTAGTACTGGAGAGGGTAATACGTGAGATGAACATTTCGGAAGGAGTTATATTAGGACAGACCAGAATTGGAATACTAGCATATGCGGATGATATCGCTCTCCTTGGTGAAGATTTAGATATGATAAAGAAATTGGGAAGTAATCTAATAAATACGGCAAAAAAAGTGGGCCTAACCGTTAATGAGGAAAAAACAGAGTACCTTGTGGCTAGCCGAGGAAATAGAAATGGCGGTCTGGAACAATATATCAAAATTGAAGAACTCAAGTTCAAAAGAGTGTCTCAATTTAAGTATCTAGGTTCGATGATAACGGAGGATAACGACATCAAGACAGAGGTGTCAACAAGGATACAACTAGCGAATAGAGGATTTTATGGACTTGAAAAAGTCTTGAAATCGAAGGCCTTATCTAAAGCCCTAAAAATCAAAATGTACATGACTCTACTAAGACCAATTGTTCTTTACGGCTCAGAAACCTGGGCGCTGAGAAAAACAGAAGAATCAAGATTAATGATATTCGAGAGAAAAGTTCTACGGAAAATTTTTGGCCCCATATACGATAGACAAACGAGGGAATGGAGAAAACTTCATAACGTGGAACTCCAAGGACTTTTCCAGAGGCCGAATATAGTTAGAGAGATCACCAAGCGGAAACTAAGTTGGGCAGGACATGCTTGGCGCAAAAAGGGTACTTTAGTAAAATGGGTGATCGAAGAAGAGCCTAATGGAAAAAGACCAATAGGTAGACCTAAGTTAAGATGGGAAGATGGTGTGAAGAAAGAAGTGGAAAAGATAGAGCCTGGTGTCAAGTGGAGAGAAGTAGCGGAGGACAGGGATAGGTGGCAAAATTTAGTGTTTTCAGGATGGTCTTAAGGGCCATAACTAAAAAGAAGAAGATATAATATATTATGAAAAATATCGAAATTCCAAAATTTTCCCTCAAAAATAAAAATAAATTCATCTTGTAGACATTTTATTTGAAATATAAAATATGTGAACAGGTTTTACTAAAAAAAAAGAAAATTATCATAATATTATTATAATATTATTATTGCATTAAATGTTTGTAATACTGGCGTATTGTTCTTATGATGAAAAAACCGATATATTACTATCTATATATTATCTATATATTACTATTTCCTAACACAGCTATGTATCACTTTTGCCTATAACATAACGCCGTGTTGCAAAATATACATCGCACTAATTTTTCTTACATTGATTTTTTTAATATTTGTACTCGGACATTAATAGAAAAATAACCATAGGGCATTTATCCGAGTGTTGAAATATTAGTAAATTAATTTAAGTTTGAAACACGATACGGTAAATTGTAATTCATCATAAAATTGTCAGGCCTTCTTAGTGTATCATTTGCAACTACGTTATTATATTATAATTAAATATTGAAACCATTTTTAAACCATGGTTTAAAATTAAGAAATGTTTCCCGTCAACAATTAATATTACACGAAACTATGCGATATAAATATACATAAACATACTTGCATCGAGAAGAGGAACCAGGATTTATGAATACTATTTACTGCTATCTCAAAAACAGTCACGCGATACGCCATGTAAACGCGAAGGCATACCTGGATAGTTTTAATTATTCGACAGTAAATACATACCCTCAAATACATGAAACCTTCAACCGTGTCCGTGTCGCTGGCCGGGCACCAAGCTGTCCAGGCGGCCGAGTGTTTCCATTGCATGAGCGTCAGTTTGCGGTTCACGCAGATTACCTATAGAAAAAAAAAAAAAAAAATATGTAAAAGCGAACGCGTGATTCATACGACGTGATGGCTTAAAATGCATGACTTAACCACAACATGTACGTATGAACTATAATCTAGAGCTCAGATATTGATGCTTTAATTAACTATGTGCCGTTCATAAAATGCATTTATGAATAAAAACAAATTTGCAAACTAACCCTGAAACCGTATAAATTAATTAAGTTCTTAACCAAATAACCGGTTAAAGTAGGTTCACCTTCCGATATAATGAAATAAGTGACCAAAAACAAATGTACGGTAAAATATATTAATCCGAGTTCGTATATGCGAAACACGTTTTTAGCATGGAAACACCATCGTCAAAAATATTTATATACGAGTATATTCAATAGAAAATATGCTTAAGTTTTCAATATCTGGGCCATAACAATATTATATGTGTACGGGTATACGGACAGGCATCGTCGACGACGTTCCGGTCGTAGTGTACACATATAAAGTCGGGGCACTATACAGGCAAGTACTCTATCACCTGCTCATCTGTGTCCTTTCAGTGGCGACCCGTTAAGACTTTCGTGTGGTTTTTATGTAAATTGATGACGGAATTTATTTATGGTTGCAAAGGAGACAAGTTCAGATACGTTACAACTACAGTGCGTGGTAACTTGCTACTTCTATTCGATTTTCAGAACTAGTATTACATATGTAAAACACACGTGCATATATATTAATTGTATTATCGTCGCTGAAAGTTAACATACATGTACACTTGGTTAAGAATTTTTTGTTATGTATAGTAACCACAGTGGTATTTGACTTCGGCGTACGGTGTTATAATGCGTAGGATGTATTTTTATTTCCATTCCATCGTAATATTGTACACAGATAACGCGGGAAAATGTTTGACCCCCTTTGAATAATAATATTATGAATATTATTACTATTATAAATATTATTATTTTAGTGATAGCAGCGCACGAAAAAAAAGCAGAAAAAAATGTTTACATTTAATTAGTTAATATAAATATTAAAGTTGTTGTTTTCGTTCACTGCCCTCCGGACATTTTTAATTCAAGTGAAAATATATTAATGTCTGTAATGCCGCCGTCTTTTATTATAACTTATGTAATGAACGGCACGTATTCAACAGCGCCAGCATTCGTTTGTGTATCATTCGTGTTACTTACAATAACTGCACACTTAAAGGATTTTCATGACGTGCTTCAATAAATAGATTTTTACCTTAATAAGACTTATCTCGAAGCATAAATAGATACATCCATGTATCGTTAAATAATATATAATAAATATTAAACAAATAATGTATTGATGTACTAGACTTACTTATCATACTAGTCATACATATGAATAAATATAATTGTTTTTATTATATTTACCATTTTAAGCCGCGAACCACCGGGCTTACTGATCGCGTACATACTGCACCCTCTGGTACGTTCTAATTTATGGTCTTTCAGATCAGATTTGCTTTTTACTTCCTTTTGAGTTTCCGGCTCGAATTCCGATAGTCTGAATACGTATATTTTGCTGTCGCGTCCTACAACGTAAAAAAAAAAAAACGATTTATACAATAATTGCTCAGTTTTTTAGCAAGAAAACCAACCATCAATTACCACTATCAGTAGCTCTGATAGTAATGGTTGTGAGAGAGGGAGGTGAGAGGTCGAGGTTGGACTGAATTTCTAGACGATATTAGTAGGTTGGTGGTCTGCCATTGTCCGTCACGGGATCAACGAAAAAAGGTGAAAATTACCGGCAAATTGTTTATCTGTGTAATTACTGAAAGGTTTGAAGTCAAATCAAATTATGCATCGGAAAAATTATAGTGGGTAAAAAATTGGATAAAGTTTTAATGGACCAGCGTTTATGCTTATTTCTTTTTTCAGTTATGACCATGTCTTAATAGTGTGCTAATGCTTCCGATTCATAAAATTTTAAGAAGAATATAAGTTATGATTTTAAATTCCATAAGTATGGTATGTTTCATTATTATTGTATTAATTTATTTTGATAATAAAAGGAATTTCAAACTGCAAACTTTACGGAAAAATTGAAATTATCAAGTATATGATTGTTAATAATAATTTACTTCCAATATATTTTTTTTAAATAACTGTGTACAATTAGTGACATGTTATAATAAGTAAATAGTAGTTTAAGTAAAATATTTATATAATAGTAATAATATAATAATTGATAAAATTAAATTTTGTTTATAATATGAGTAGTAATGTATTATAATTATAAGAATCTTAATGTAATATAACATTTAATAAAATGTATTGTACTTTGCCAAAAAAAAAATTAACATTTTGCATAACGCCTAGGTATTCAATAAAATACCTAGGTTATATGTAAAATAATATTGAAAATTATATGTTTTATTTATATTGCCTTAAATGGTTCGGCAATTTGCAAAATACCTGAATTATCTATATTACCGGTAACATATATATAAAAAAATCACACTATATATATATAGGGTGATTTTTTTATCGTGAACCAGTTAATATCTCGGGGGAAATATCAGGAATTTAAAAATAATTTTTTTTTTTAACTTTCTAGGTTTTACCATTTTACACTGTGTTACAATTTTGATAATTTTAACTTCCTCCCTTATTCGATAAAACACTATCAACTTTCGATTTTCAAATGGCAATACCTATTTTCGATAATGAAAATTTATAAACTTACTGAAATAAATAATTTTAACGTTTACAGAATTTAATTTCAGTAATCCGTTTGCGACTTATTACCGTTTAAATATAAGTTCAATTTACTGCTACTGGGTAATTTATCAAACCCAACAATAAGAACCAGAAGTCAAAACGGAATAATATTTCAATTTAACAATACCCATAACGATCATAATCGATAATAACTCTGAAGTACCTATCTAACAAGATAGATAAACAATACTGTTGGAAACAAAAAAGAAATATCCTATCAACACTCCCACCAGAACACCGTGTGTCAGTGAGCGACTATCCTGCAGCAGTAACAATTTTATCTATTATTATATTATTACTAGTATATAAATTTTTTACTTAAACTACTATTTACTTATTATAACAATTTTTAGAAAAGTGACATTTTGAAGTGCACAAAATTTTATTTTTAAGGTAAATTCATTTTTTATTTTGACACTTGGACTTATAAACACATTTTAAAAATCCTTGGCCAATTCTTGTGGATTGAATTTTTATCAACTAATTATACTGTTTATACAGATAAAAACTAGTATTAGTGGCCAAATTTTTAAAAGAATGTTGTAGTTTGTTATACAAATTTGATTTCATATAATTCGTATGTATAATTGCAACATCAAAACGAGATACAAAAATGACGAAAAATGACGATATTGTAATAAAATTATTAGTACGTTCAATATTGTATCTCAAAATTATTATTATTATAGTAGTAAATGAATATTATATTATTACGTTAAATCGTGAACGCACATTTATGATAAACAATAAGTAAAGTCGTTGGTAATAGGCGATGCCCAATTTTGATTATTTTCTTCATATTGCCTACTCCACAATTGGCATTATACATAATACGAGTTTTGCCTAGGTATTATGTATATTACCGAGTGATTTTTGGCATTTTATATAATGCCTAGGCATTTTGCAAAATACCGGATTATCCATATTGCCGGTAACATATATATATATATACAAATCTTCAAGGTCTTAAAGACCGTTATTCTTTATAAAATTATATATATATATATTTATATATAAAGACTATATACACGAATTTTGAATACGAAAACACAATAATAATTCACGCGTAATGCATACGCTGTCATGTGTAAATACGTACCTTTTTCGGCTCTGAATAAAAGGATTCCGTGGGCCTCGATGACGTTCAACTGATTAGCTTGTATTGTTTTGTCGAAAATCTGTCTCTGCGACACGCCATCTGCGGATCATTTGAAAACAAAAATGATTTAATCGAAATTCCGTCATTCCTAGATAATATCACATGATATATTATTTTTTGGTAAAATGACTTTGGAAAAATCCCAAAGTGTCCGTGTAACAAAATTACACGATATCCATTATATGAGTCTTTAACCGCGGGCATGACACTTAAAAATGACCGATCGTGTTCAGTATAAGCAGGTTGTTTAATAATTCAAATGTGTACGAATGTTTTAAATAAACCACACGGATTCATAAAATGATCATACAAAACCTAATTTACCTACGCGTCAGATTAAAGTTTAATATATTCACTTTTGCATAGAATTTTTTATGGCAAATTAAAAAATAAAAAATAAAAGATAATAAAAAATGTAAGTATTATAATAACTTAATTAATAGTCATGGTAATTTATTTTTTATTCCTTTTTGCTGCGCTCAGTATTGAAAAATAAACCTTTGTTTGGATGAATGTTATTTATTTTGAACATTCATATTATATTTTTATACGTATTACGATAATCCGCTACATATGAGTATAGACATGCATTATTTTTCAATAGAAGATCTAGTTGTTGACTTTTAGTGTTTATGTTTGAGAAACAAAACACAAACGACGCTCAAAGATCTTGCTGTTTATTTGAGAGTAATGGTTTGTATTAACGATTGTGTCAGTTATAATATAAAAATATCTTGTTCAGAAAAATATAAGATACCGAGTAAAAAGAAAATCTACTGTAGTAAAAAGCCATTCGAATTTTGAGCGATGGCGTTATTTTGTTTAGAGATAGAGACGAATTACAAATTTTATTAAAAAAAAATAAATAATATTAGAATACACAAGTGGAAATTTTCGAATACTAAAGAAATATAATCATAATTTTTTATGACAAATGACAATAAAATTGGTTCCAAATAATATCTAAATTAACTTAATATTCGTAACCTACCAATACGATTTTTTAAAATTTAAATCAATTTAGCAACTATTGAAAGTTTTAAATTTGGAAAAATCTTCATGTATATCATATTAATTTTGTCAATTTAAAATAAAAGATTACAAGATAAAAAAAAAAAAACACCAAGAATTATTAGTTTTTCAAACTATAATAATAATTTTATTTTGAATATATTGTTTTGATTAATTGAATACGTTTACGGTAAAATACAAAAAAAGTATTAATCACAGTTAAAATGTTAATATGTCGAATTTCTCCAATATACCAATAGATTTTTTCCGGAATTCAAAATAGGAGTACATTATTCTAGATTTCTTAGATTTTATATATATACAATAACAATAATTAAAAACATCTTTAAATACACTAGATATTTGCATTGGTATATTTTATATTTGTTTTTCTTGATTACGTTTAAACAGTATGTAAGAAGTGTTAAGATAGAAAGAAAATTAATTATTTAATCTAAGTCTAAACACAATCATTTAATAATGTACAACTATTATATTTTGTAACTATTTTCACCACATTCGATTATACTAATCAAATATTTTAGCATAGAGATTCGAGTTACCGATATACTTATGTTTAACATTAGTATAATTTATGTTAAGCTATCTTTGAGCTAAATTAATACCGACATGAATCAAAGGTCTCTTGAGTGTAATGAAATTACATAATACATATGAGAGTACCTAATTCTCGATTTCTCAATTACAGTTATTGAAAGAAAAGTCTGGCAATGTTTAATAATTAAAAAAGTTTAAACTACTTAAATATGACAGTGAATATTTAAAAAATTTAAATCTTATGATTTTAAATAGTATTAAATTCACTACGAAGAACATATTATTATTTTATTTAAGTGTAAATAAAAAGAGCTCAGATTGAAAACATAATAAAATTATTCCATTTTTTTTAGAGTTCAAAACATCATACATAGACATCATACACTTTTATCCCTTATTTAAGTAGATAATTATCACATGCATGGGGATCACTTCCAGTGAAGTTGGTTTGGCGGATGGCAGTGTAGAGCAACCAGAAAAATGGCAGGGAAGAGAGATTACAGAATTAACTCTGACGAATAATTTTTACACTAAGCAAACTAACCGGATTCGAACTTATGACTGCACGACGTAGCCAACTGTGAGATCACTATACCACACTATTCCTATAGTTACTACCTATTTAAAATAAAAATAAAAATATTATGTCTATAATGTATCAATCGTATACAATTAAGTGCAACTCTATTAAAAATAAAATAAAAGTAGACATTTTTTGAATTACAAAAATATGAGAGCTAAAACTAATTTTTTAAGTTAAATATAATCTCTATGCATAAAATATATAAACATGAATGTAAAACGAATCTTAATATTTACATTTAAGTTATTAAATTAAGAAGAAGTAAAAAAGGAGAATAAAATAACATGAAATACTATGGATTAAATATTTGTCGTTTTTTTTTTTAAATATAATTATTTTTTTAAATGAACAACAGTTTAAATATTAAGAACTTAAAGTTTTTTCCAATTAAGGTTAGTTCACTTAATAAAAAATTTAAATTTAAAAATATACATTTAAAATACTCATTAAAAAATAAAATTATAAGTTTTTGGCTGCTAATAAATAATATATTGATATTTTACCAGATAAACATTTTCAGAAAGTAATTCTTTATTAATTAATTATAGAGATGATTTTGGACGGAAGTGATAATATCTTTTGATAAGACGTTCTTCATTTTTGACAAGTGATTTAAGGACTAGGCACTCAGATAATATTTATAGATAGGGGAAGGAAATATCTTCGCTTGTGTAATTTATTATCATTCATTTAACGACAGCTCACTCAGCCTTCATATCCTTGAACCACTTGTTCGAAAAGTGGATAAAGATTAAAATAATACATTTATATATATATATATATATATATATATATAAGAATAACAAAAATGATAATAATGATAGTAATAATAATAATAATAATAATAATAATAATAATAATAACATCAAAAATTATTGATATAACACTCGAGCTTCTTAATAATGCTACTATGGACATATTCCAGAAAATTTTTAAAAAACAGCAACAATGACCTATAAATGACAAAAATAAAATAAATTCGAGATGAAAGGTATAAGAATAATATTATTGTTTTTATTGTAATACACTATATGGAAGAGAATGCAATCATTGCAGTCACAAATGTATGTCATTATTTTATTATAATGTGGTTATAGGAAAAATTATCGTTAGTTTAAAAAAAAAAAAAAAAATGTAACAATAAGATATTAATCAAAGTTCAAAAAATGTTTGATATGATGTTGTATATATTATACATAGAACGTATAATTTGTTTTTGTAATTGATTTTTAAGAAAACGATAGAATACAAAACAAATGTAAAAATATTGTTGTAATTTTGTTTTCGAATTCCCGGATTCGGTGGCCGTATAATATAATGTTGTATATTATCTGGACGAAATGGGAAATAATTGAATTTTTGAGTTGATTCATTAGAACAATAACTTCAATCGCATAAAATAAATAAATAAATAAATAAATAAATAAAATGAAAAAAATTGCCCCACGATAACGGATGTAAACCTGCGGAAGTATAATCGGAGGTATTATATATCGTAAATGGATTCCGTATAAACGAGTGATTTTCAGACGAAAATAAAGCGTTTATTGCAACGGTACGTAAATATAAATCAACGACATTGTGACTAGGTCGAGGTGATAACATAAAAATTGTCCATGGTATGCATCAATAGTGTTCGAATAAAATAGTTTTCCGAAACAAGGTGATGTAAACTCTTAGACCGATAAAGGGATTTAGAAATATCGGTTTTTTTTTTGCCAACTGCTAAACTTAAACCAACCCAACGTACTTATAGTAATGTAATGCGTGTACACGTGAATGGTATTAAAAACGAGTGTACTGCCCGTGGTAAGCAGAGGACGGAAGTGTAATACACGTACGTTCCGTGAGCTACTGTTCCGGATCCGATGATGAGACTGTCTCTAATATTATAGTTGTTAAACAGTTTCGATATATTTGTTCGGCGGAGTCACCTTTGGGTCGTTTTAACATTTTGGTACTCTGCGGTTTTGTCGGAAAGTTTATCCTTGCCGACCAAATCTTGGCAATACAAAAATTACCCCCCTGCAGTGCTGCCATAATGCCCCTGTTGCTCCATAGTGCGAGTATTATGACACAATCTATATTTACACGCAAGTATATCAAACAATATAGGGAAAAATATGAGAGAATCAATGTGCAAGTGGATAATATTTATAACACGCGTACGGTTTTGTACAACGAACGCGTTTTATTTCACCACGGGTTGACACTGGAAAACAGAAAAATAAACAATGAGAAAATAAATAACAGATAATAGTTGACCGGAGAAATGTTTAAAAATAAACCATTTATAAATTCTAAAACACAAAATAATCAAAAATCAATTCCGTTTACATGGGTCGCATTGGTAGACAATATTATAATATTTTTAAATTTACTTTGGAAATTCAAAACGAGAATATATATCGGTTTACACGTTAAATTAAATTGAAAGGTTTTATTTATTTATTTATTTTTTTTTTTACGCGTAGGTGTTGTCAATAGTTTTTGTTACTTGTATGCTGTTCATTGAAATTTAAGTGCTTGTTTGAGCTTCTTTTAGAGCGTCTAAAAAAATTAAATAAAAATAAAAAAATGCTCGAATGAGAACAACTGAATTTCTTAGAAAACCATGAGAGATAAGAAGATTCATGTGAGTCGGTATACTTCCCTGATTTTATTGAATTCAAACCCTTAAGAATTGAAAAATAATGTTTAGTTCGACGAAATGGAATTACTATTTATCATTCAAATAATCTAGCAATCATTGAAGTTGAAAAATAGTCGATTGAATAAATTTGAAATAATATGAACAGTGAAATCGTTGATCGTTTGGTTTAGATTTAATTTGAAAAATAAACATAATATACATATACTATAAATTTATTCTGTATTTAACTTTTAA